GGTTTTCCCTGAATTTGCAGGCGTTTGGGGAGTGAACCAGTAGATGGAAGGTATTTCTCTCTCTCTCTCCCCCAGCACCACCACCTCCCTCTCCCTTTTCTCCCACTGCTCATCCTCTGCCTCTTCACTGTAATGCTGCTTTTCAATAAACTTTTTTTTTTTTCTAAAGAAGGCAGGTGCTGACATCGTGGGACCATGGGTAAGCCATCAATGACAGCGGCTCCATGTCAGAGTGCCTGGTTCAAGACCCAGCTGCTTCTAAGCCATATTTCCTGTAGTAATGGGAGGCAGCAGATGGCTCAAGTTGTTGGATTCCTTACTTCAGCGTGGTTAGCCGTGGCTGCGGCAGGCATTTGAGAGGTGAATCAGATGGAACATCTCTGTGTGTTTCATTCTATGTAGCTCTCCCTCTCTCTTATGTTTGCCTTGCAGATAAATAAATCAGTCTCTTTAAAAATTGGTAAACTGGTTCTGGCACTGTGGATAGTGGGCTGCACCTCCACCTACAGTGCCTGCTTCCCATGTGGACTCTGGTTCAAGACCGACTGTTCCTCTTCTGATCTGGCTCTCTGCTATAGCTTGAGAAAAGCAGTCTACTTCATATATAAATAGAGAAAGAGAGAGAGAGAGAGAGAGAGAGAGAGATACAAGGGTAAAAATTCAGCACACCCAATATGAGATGTAATATATTATAACACTGCAATTAAAAAATCCAAGTGATAGAGAAAAAAATCCAATGGTATGGGCTAACAGGATATTTGCAATAACATTCCACGTTGGGGTGAGAATGCTTTTGAACTACAGAATGCCAGGATGCAGTCTTCAGGAAGAATTCTATTAGAAATCTAGTATTAGACTGGAATATAATAACTGACACAGGCATGAATGGTTAACGCATGGTAAAATTGTTAAAGGAAGCCCATTTTCAAACGGGAGATTTATACATCTTCCAAGCAGCACTCTCCAAAGTGTTTTATTTCAACTCTGAAATTTTATTATCCAAAGTGTATGATTTTTACAGAACAAAAGTAAAAGCAGGTATCAAAATCAGCAAAGAGTTTGTAAAATTTCTGCAGAGAGTTTCACCTAAGTTAGGGCTGGTGAAAGTGGTATCCAAGGAAAAACCTAGATGACTGCTGATTTGTCTCTTGGCATAAATTACCAGGCGGTTTGTTCTGGAGGTCCTGAATAACTTGTCATCATCAGTGGTCAGTTGTTGAGAACAATTCGAGTTGTCAAACAAAGCAAAAAAATTTTTTACATTTTTTGTTGTTGCATTGTGGCATTTTACTGAAGTGGCATTTATTTTTTTCTTCTTAGTAATTTCTTTTTGTTTTGAAATTTTTTCATTTCTTTTTAGCATTTTCTTATTTAGAAAGATAACTAACTGAAATGGCATTGTATGTTGTTTCCTTAGTATTGCTTTTTTTGTTTTAAGTTTGAAATTTTTGCAAAGTTGTTAAATTGTAATTATTTGGCATTTTCTCCATTAAATGAAACAGTGAATAGGAATGACATTTTACACTTGTTCTGAATAATTGTTTTTCTCTTTTATCATTTGTAAAGTATAATCATTTTTCAATTTAAAAATTTTAGCATTTTTGTATTTACAAAAACACTGAACTGAAATGGAATTTTACTTGTATTTGCTGAGTTTAAATTTATGAAAAAATTTCAATTTATATATATTTCTATATTTTTCCTATTTAAAAAGTTACTAAAATGAAGTGGAACTTTAATTTTACTATTAGTATTTTCCTATTTTTGTTTTTTATTGTTTTTAAAGTTTCTAAAATTTTAATTTAATTTTTCAGTATTTTACTTTCAAAAACACTAAAATGACATTTTTTCTAATTTTTTCTTTTTAAAATTTTAGTTTTAAATTTTTAATTTTTAATCTTTCCTTTTTAAAAAAACAATGGAATTCCATTTTTCTTTTCTAGTTTTACTTTAAAAATTTTTTTATTTTTAAATTTTTAATTTTTTTTTTGGAATTTTTCTTTTTAAAAACACTTAATAAGGAATATGTATTGGGACCTGAATCAATATTTTTGATTCCAGTTATACTCCAGGACACTGGAGACACTTCTGGGCCTGGACAGTGATATCTTAATGAAGAAGTTGTAGAATTTTAGGAGCCCAAGATGTGCTGACAGGGTGTCTAAGGCAGCTGTTACACTGAGAGGAGGCACACTCAGGTGGAAACATAATTCCCTCCCTAGGATCCCAATTTTCATGAAAGGAAAACAATTGTGTCATCACAGCCATGACAGACAGTGGAAGCAAGAATGGTAGCTGTGAGAAACAGGTCCACCACAGGGCAGCGGTGCCATTGGCTCAGTTTGTTCTTGGACCAGGAACACCTACTAAGCAGTGGGTGTCCAGAATCTGCGAGGACTCGGTTTTCCACGTCGGGCTGGGGGCAGGCATATGGCCCCTCCTCATCCTGCAGCTGCCTCAGGCCGGCAGGAACACGGCCTTGCTGTTTGCTGGGGCTCTGGATGCCTTGGCCCACGTCCTGCATCAGGAGCCCCCAGTTCTCCTGCAACACTGAGTGGAGTTGGCAGGACCAGCAGCTGTAAGAGATGAGCGTCCTCGTGACGAGGTCCTGCCCGCATCTGCACTGCCTGACTCTGGACATGGAGAGAGGAGTGTTCAGAGAGGTGTCCGGTTCCTTGATGCAGGCTCAGTCCACCTCACCCACCTGGGCCCTCCCGGCCACACTGCTGCATTCATCACCATGAACTTGCTGTTATCACGCCCATCCACGGCTGCCTCCTGGGTTGATGACTGGACCTCTGCCAGGCTGCTGCTCACTCCCTTTTTGCTCAGGCTCTGAGGGGTCACCCTCTCCACAGTTGTTAGGATACAGAGGAAGGAGCACATCTTTAGGATGTACAGATAAACAGACAGCTTTCACCCACTGACCGATGCCAGGGTCAGGGGACCTGATGGGCACACAAGATGTTCTCTGCCTCCTGCGGGGATGTGGGAGGGAGCACACAGCACTCCCTGCATCGGGTGCTTGGCCAAAGAGTGAGGCTGAGTGTAAAATTGAGGAAAGCATCAGAGATCCTCAGGAAGCAGACCCCGAGCCAGACACCTGGCCTGTGCCTTCACACAGTCAGCGTTCCCATCATGGAAGACAGCAGAAGGGGGAGATGGTTGGGGTTCAAAAGGAGGAAAGAGACCCTTCCTGTCCTTTTGAGCCCCAAAGTCTCCTCCTCCTGCTGTCCTCTATGCAGAACGTTGGCAGTGTGAAGGAGAGGGCCAGCTGTCTGGGTCAGGGTCCACGTCCTGCAGAGTCCGATCCTCTCCTCTGCTCACATGCAGCCTTGTGCGCAGGGCGCTGTGTCTCTGACACTGCCCACACCAAGCTCACCCCATCCAAAGGCAGTGTGTGCCCAGGGTCCTGTGCTGTGTGCTTCCAGCTCCTCCTGACCTCAGATCTCTACAGGAGGCAGTTGGAGAGGAGCCAGGTGGTGTTCTCTCCAGAGCAGCTGTGGAGTCAGGCCTGGGTCTCCTTAGGTGTTCACGTGGATTGGAGGTGGAAGACTGTGCCAGCTCTCAGGGAAGCAGCCTAGTGGATGAAAATAGCCGAGGGCAGTTCATGGTGTTGAAATTGCGTTCTTGGTGTTCTGGTTGCTGTTGAAGCGGAGCTCCTGTGGTAGATGTTTGGAAGAGGTGGGGATGTTACAATCAGCAATACTGTTCTGTCCTTCCAACTGTACTTGGGATCTGAAAGAGGGAGAGAAGAAAAATCAAAGGAGAGCTGGGTCAGGTCCAGGAGAGAGCTGAGCCTGCATCTGGACCTCAGTGGGGCAGAGGCCGGGCAAACTCAATTCCAGTGGGGAGACTGGCTGAAGAGGAGCCCTGGGCTGCTGAGAGGGAAGCGGCAGCCAAATGAGCAGAGTCCTGCCCTGAACTCCAGCCCAGCTCTGCAGTGCTGGGGAACCAGGGCCCTTGACCTCTCCCAACCAGGAGTGGGTGATGTCACCCCACTTCCTCCTGCTCTCTGGGGCATCAGAAATGGATTAGTTTTCTGCAGGAAGCAAAGAGAGCTGGGAGTGTAACCACAGCACAACTCATGTCAATAGAACAGACACCAAGTTTCTCTGAAGATGACTCCACATCTAGTTACACCTAGGACCATTCTGCTGTGTGCCTAATAGCTCACTCACTCAACTCTGAAGGGAACATTAACTTTAAAACAGGCACTCTTTAGTCACCCTAGAGTTTGCCCATTTTTTTTTTTCAGTTTCCCTAAGAAATTTTCTTTTTGAGAATATCCTGTTTGTATACTGGTCAGAGGGGAGGACAAACATGGGAGAATGAGACCTAAGAATCCACATTGGAAATTGGCCTGGGAATAAAATGAGATAAAATGTGATTGTTCAATGTATATTTCTCAACCCAATAGAGGACTTGCAATCAAGTGAGTGGATGGTGAACAGCATGTTTTAGGGAGAGAAGTTCAACTGTAAACATTTTAACTTGATTATGAGGGGAGGTATCCTATTTTGTGGGTCAGGTTTCTACATGACAAGGATTTCTTACTGTATCTTCTATTTCCAATTATTGATCCAAACAGAGAGGTTACAGTTCTACCCTATCTGAACAAACAGAAATGAGCTATAATCTGTGCCCAGTGTAAGAAGGAATACATACATCTAAGAAACACACACAGGATTACCTCTGTCTAGGCGTGAAGGCCCAGGAATCTGAAGGTCAATGCCCATATGTTGGTCTGTGGTTTTCCCTTCATCTCCTGGCCAGGAAATTGGCACATGATTTTCCTCTCTGTGGGCTGTGGTTTTCCCTTCATCTCCAGGCCGGGGAACTGGCAGGCCAGTTTGCATTTCCTGGGCTTCCATTTTCCTTTGATAACATTTTCTTTTGGGGTACTTGGGACATCGCTGGGGCTGATGCTATGCCTCTCACACTTGCTGGTGATGGGATCTTTGTGAGGACCTCCCTCCAGCTGGGAACGGGTCTTCCTCTCAGCAGCAGCCACAAAACTCAGTTCTGAAATAGAACCACAGCCGTCAGGATTGGTATTCATGCTCTCTCTCTGGCAGTCAGGCCTGCAGCAGAGGGACCACAAGTAAGGAAAGGGGCCCTGAACAGTCATGTCCGAAGTGGGAGATGAGATCTGCACAGACACTAAAATGTTTTCATTCAGGTTGATTTTATACATATTCACTGATAATTTATCACTAGGGAAATGTAATAAACATGGCTCAGATGATCACAATATTCAACAAAGTGGGACTAATAAAACACACAGCTCTTAAGCTTTTAAGGCACAGAAACCACACTGTGTATCTGTTGAAGGTTTGAGGGGATGGAGCAGGATCATCCAACCTGGAGGGCATTGTAATGAGAGACAAGGACAGGGGACCACTCACAGCTGGAATGAACAACACTAGCACAAGAACACATGCATTTCATACATGCACATGCTTTGCTGAACATACACCAAGCACATCGATTCATAGGATATATGCCTTCAGTGCCTGTCATATAGATAATAATATACATGATGTGGCCATCACTTTTCTGGTCAGTTGAAGTGGGAACCTAGTTACAGGCACCTGAAGAATGGAGAGACAAGCTAAGGTGAAACACAAAAGTCAGGAAGAAATCCCAGTGGGAGGTAAGGCATTGCTTTGGCCTAGCACACACATCTGCCTCCTGAGACAGTGTTGTGCACTTGCCTGCTTCCTCATGACTGCCCAGCCCTGGCACTGGGTGTTTCTGAGACAAAGCCACACAACCACTGGTCTGTGGCAAAGACTAGTTCAAGGCCTCACTGGGACCCTGAGTGTAAAAAGGCTGAGGGGAGAGACCAGGAACTTTCAGGACATGGGACACTCCTGAGATGGAGCTATATCTGGAGCGCCACAATGACCTGCTGACCCTGCTCAGGGACGACGCACATCTCTGTACCTCTCTACAGAGGAAAAGCACATGGTCTCACCAAGAAAAGGTGCCTGCTGATCTACAGCATTGGGGGGGGGGGGACAACTGTCATTGCCAATTCTACTGCAGAACACTGAGAAACAGGGAAGGGCATCAGGATTTCTTGCTTTTCCTACTGAATGATTTGATGAGTGAAGGTGCTTCAAACCCTAAAGATTCCTGCTGAGAGAAAGTGTAAAACCTCATTGAGCTGGTGCTGCGGCTCACTAGGCTAATCCTCCGCCTAGCGGCGCCAGCACACCAGGTTCTAGTCCTGGTCGGGGCGCCGGATTCTGTCCCGGTTGCCCCTCTTCCAGGCCAGCTCTCTGCTGTGGCCAGGGAGTGCAGTGGAGGATGGCCCAAGTGCTTGGGCCCTGCACCCCATGGGAGACCAGGAAAAGCACCTGGCTCCTGCCATCGGATCAGCGCGGTGTGCCGGCCGCAGCGCGCCGGCCGTGGCGGCCATTGGAGGGTGAACCAACGGCAAAGGAAGACTTTTCTCTCTGTCTATCTCTCTCACTGTCCACTCTGCCTGTCAAAAAAAAAAAAAACAAAAACAAAAAAAACAACATCTCATTGAAGCTCAGATTCAAGGAAATTGGACTTTTTCTCTGCCCCCCCCATGAAGCCATACTCCAAGGCTCCTACTCAACAAGAGGCACTCTGCCTGTGATGATGTGAGAGACCCCTCAGCCTCACTCAGATACTGAATAGATTCCTGTCCTGGTACAAGATTATGGAGCCTTTGCATGAGAATAAAGTGCTGAGTTTAGACACTGGATTAAAACTACAGACCTCATATGAGCACAACTCAGTGCTGTGAAGCAGAAGATGAAAACCACACCATGGACACAGGTGCGGGACTGGACTGCTGTGGTTAGCACCAAACTGCTTCAGAGAAAACAAAGTCTGCCGACCAAGGACACCTAGTATCAGATAACTAAGGAAACATTGTACAGACTGCCAAAGCTTTAAGCCTGAGAAGTTTGGAGGATGCTGTTTACAATTGCAACTGTTGTTAAAATTAGGAACATCACAGTGAGTTGTTAAAGAAGCCTCTCCAAGAGAGATGGTGGAGGCTTGGTGTTTGCCATCCTGCATTCCCATTCCCTCCTTCCCTGTCTTGACGTCAAAAGCTGCACCTTGAAAGTGGGCCTGGTGACAGCCAAGGGATTCCCCTGTTGGATGACTATGAACAAACTCCACCCAAAAGCCACATCCAGACTAAGTCCCCAGGGCCTGAGTGCGGAGTGGTCTGTCTCACCCAACACAGGTGCAGCAACCCAAGACTACAGAGGCCACCTGGGAGAGCAGTGGAGTGTTCCCGTTCACAATGGAGCACTCACTGTCTACAACAAGAGCAGAGCAGACAGGCTGTTTCCCAGTGAGGACCAGGTGCTCCTAGAATGGGACCAGTCAGAAGCTTCCGGAAGAAGTGCAGGAGTCAAACACGTACCGTGAGAGTCTTGTGAGACATCTTGATCTTCAATCTCTGGAATCTCCCTGATGAGGCTGGAGGGAGGGAAAGGTGGGTGAGAAACATAGAGGGAACAGAAAGCCCCTTTCCAAGCTGTTCCAAAGAGGAGGCTTCCAGAAGTGGCTGGGCCGAGCAAGGGGCCACCCACAACCTTGTCCCTATCTGGGGAAGACTGGCTTCTAATTCCCTAGTAGTCCATGCCACACTGTCTGCTCTGCCTCCGAGTTACCTGGACGTGTATGTGACAACTTGCTCTTGTACCTCCACTCCATGATATTGATTTTCTGCAAACAAATTCAGAGAGATTGACCAGGTTAAGCAGGTTTTGGTTTAGATATGGGTATCCGATGGCCACTACTACCAAGGGGACAGATTGTTCTCGTGTGAGAACAGGAGACTGTGACAGAAATCCTCCAGGAGGACTAAGTTGACATCAGGAGATGGGCTGCGTGAGCCATCCTGGGCAAGGGGTCAAATCTCCCTGTTCACAGTTGGATCACCATCTCAATAACCTCTGTCCAGAACCCTTAGAAACTGCCTGCAATGGTCCTCAGGGATTCTAAGCTCACAGCCCAAGAACTTCCTAGGAGGCAAACTGCAGTTGTCAGGCTGCTCTCATTAAAGGACCCAGGTTGCTGACTGTGTAGAGGAGGTAGAACACTGGGAGAGAGCTATGCATGGAGTCTGCATTTCCTGGAATTGACACCTGTTTGATGCCACACAGAATCTTGGCTATTCTAAGAGTTGCTCATGAATAATCTCCCTCTTGTCTATGGGAACAATACAAGCCATTCAAGAGCATCTGTTTCTGCATGAACTCTTCCCTAGTCAATTCATCTTCAAATGGAAACACCACTGAGAACATGAATGACAGAGATGCCTATATGGATGCTGTGGCCTGGACAAGCATGGATGTCAAAGGGCAGAGCTGAGGTTTGGGATTGAAGAAAAAGTAAGCATGTGGCGACAGTGATCCTCCAAGGTTCCAACCAGGAGGGAGCAAACACCACCGGGGCACATGCTGCTGAGCTTGCTGTGAAATGGTCACAGCTCTGTTCCATAACAAATAAACAATATGAATTCTAACTCCTGCTCACAGCTCAATTCAGGATTTTGAGTCTACAACCACAAGTCTGTAGGTCTGGCACTGTAGCAATGACTTCACTCATCCTCAGTGGGGATAGGAGTACAAGGACAGAGCAGTCAGCAGGGGCAGAGATGAAGGTTTACCTGCTCTCAAAAGGGATCATTCTGTACATAAACTGCCCACCAATCTGCTCTGGCTTTCTGAGCATAAGCAGCTCCTGTATGCTTGCAGTCAGACATCCCAGGCACAACTGGAGCCTAGAGACGTTCATCCAGGGAACTCTGTTCTGTGAAACAGCAACCACTTTCGACAGAAATGCAGATGGGCATGCCTCACTGGGAGCCTGAGTGCAAAATGTCCGAGGGGAGAGACCAGGAACTTTCAGGCCATGGGACACTCCTGAGCTGGAGTTCTATCCTAGAACCTCAATGAGGTGCTGACCCTGCTCAGGGACGAAGCACACCAATGTCTTCCTAATGGGAGATGTTGTGCAGGGCCTTTAGAAGTTCTTGTTTGCAGACCGGAACTTTTCTACTGATATTTGAAATTCTCTCAACACAATTTGTTACAGAAGAAAAGTTTTAAGTATGAATACCCATAGCAGCCACATCGCTGGCATGTCTGCTGAAAACAAGTGGACTGAGCCTACAGACAAGGGCCAGGCAAAGGAGTGGTCTCTGATTGCAATGCACACAAGGTGGGGTGACCTGGGAGAGTGACCTTGTTGAGCCTCAGGATCCTCTCCCCAAGGTGGGGACAGAATCTCTACCAGGAAAGGTCCAGTGAGGGTTGCATGGATCAGGACGGCACAGGGTCTAGCACAGCACAGATGCCCATGAGAGTGGCCTTCATAGCTGGGTGTGAATCGCTGTGTCCTGGGATGACTCTGCACAACTCTGTACCTCTGTACAGAGGAAAAGCACATGGTCTCACCAAGAAAAGGTGCCTGCTGATCTATAGCACTGGGGGGACAACTGTCATTGTCAATTCTACTGCAGAACATTGAGTACAGGGAAGGGCATCTGGATTTTTTGATTTTCCTACAGAATGACTTGATGAGTGAAGGTGCCTCAAACCCTAAAGATTCCTGCTGAGAGAAAGTGTAAAACCTCATCAAAGCTCAGATTCAAGGAAACTGGACTTTTTCTCTGCCCCCCCCCATGAAGGCATATTCCCAGGCTCCTATTCAACAAGAGGCACTCTGCCTGTGATGACGTGAGGGACCCCTCAGCCTCACTCAGATACTGAATAGATTCCTATCGTGCAGCAAGATTATGGAGGCTTTGCATGAGAAAAAAATGCCGAGTTTAGACACTGGATTAAAACTACAGACCTCATATGAGCACAAATCAGTACTGTGAAGCAGAAGATGAAAACCACACCATGGACACAGGTGTGGGACTGGACTGCTGTGGTTAGCACCAAGCTGCTTCAGAGAAAACAGAGTCTGCCGACCAAGGATACCTAGTATCAGATAACTAAGGAAACATTGTACAGACTGCCAAAGCTTTAAGCCTGAGAAGTTTGGAGGATGCTGTTTACAATTGCAACTGTTGCTAAAATTAAGAACATCACAGTGACTTGTTAAAGAAGCCTCTCCAAGAGAGATGGTGGTGGCTTGGCGTTTGCCATCATGCCTTCCCATCCCCTCCTTCCCTGTCTTGACGTCAAAAGCTGCACCTTGAAAGTGGGCCTGGTGACAGCCAAGGGATTCCCCTGTTGGATGACTATGAACAAACTCCACCCAAAAGCCACATCCAGTCTGAAATAAGTGCCCAGGGCCTGAGTGCGGAGTGGTCTGTCTCACCCAACACAGGTGCAGCAACCCAAGACTACAGAGGCCACCTGGGAGAGCAGTGGAGTGTTCCTGTTCACAATGGAGCACTCACTGTCTACAACAAGAGCAGAGCAGACAGGCTGTTTCTCCAGTGAGGACCAGGTGCTCCTAGAATGGGACCAGTCAGAAGCTTCTGGAAGAAGTGCAGGAGTCAAACACGTACCGTGAGAGTCTTGTGAGACATCTTGATCTTCAATCTCTGGAATCTCCCTGATGAGACTGGAGGGAGGGAAAGGTGGGTGAGAATCATAAAGGGAACAGAAAGCCGCTTTCCAAGCTGTTCCAAAGAGGAGGCTTCCAGAAGAGGCTGGGCCGAACAAGGGGCAACCCACAACTTTGTCCCTATCTGGGGAAGAATGACTACTAACGGTGTAGACAGGATGCAATGTCTTCCATTTGAGGAGGCTCCTTGCTGACCACCTGGAGTAGACGAACTGAACGTTATCACAGGGCAGCTTTCATGTGAGGAAAAATGAAGTGCTCATAGGAAGCACGTGGCAAACAGAAAGCCAGGTAAAACAGAAACACCACTGCCTTCACTGAGAATAGTAAGTATGTGTAGATATATAATATTTACACATGAATCAACTACAGCCAAATATTAAACGTTATTAAATCTATGTGTGCTTGTAGACTTCTTTATGCTTATTTGTACTGCTTGAAGTCAATGAAAAGTAAACAGTCAAACAGTACTGTCATCTTCTTGGATAAAGAGTGTTAGGTTTGAGGTGATACGTGAGTGGCAGAGATATTGAAAGTGCATGGAGACAGAAGCAGAGAGAAACAGAGGATTTCCTCTGTGATGAGGTCATTAGGATCTCAGCCTGGAGAAATGACTCTCAGTTGGTCCACTAGTACCCATGAGTATTTGGAAAATGAAAACTGGCTTTAACAGATTTATGTAAATTACATGCAGAGTCAATGAATTCACATTTTAGGATACTGGAGACTATCACAGCTTTAGCTGTCAGTCTTATTCTCAGTGCTGAGGCACTAGTTTCTGTCAGGTGGTTTCACGTGATGAATGGGGGGCAGAGAAGCTCATGAGAAGAGGAGACCTGTGAGCAGCACCCTGCCCTTCACTGCACGTGAGAGAGGGGCAATGATGGCAAGGAATCCCTGGAGAGGCTCCTTCATGGAGTCAGCCTGCTGCAGGTCACTACGTGGAAAAGGTAGGGAGAAGTGGAAACCCAGACTAGTACTCTAATGATGGCAGACAGCAGTGCTGATGGGGTACCGCTGGGTTGGCTCAATGGATGGGAGATGCACAGTGGCACTGCTCTTCTTCTCTGGACCTGGAGTCTGCCCATGTCAGCACTAAGCTCGCTGCCCAGGGTTCCTAAGACTCACCTGGTGTGTGACAGGGCTTGTGTTTCAACTTCCACTTCATCATTGTCATTTTCCTTTTCTGCAAATGAATTCAAATAGGCACAGTCATCTAGGATGATCCCCTCAAAGCCTGTACAATGCGCTGTCCAGCACTAGCACAGCACACCAGTATCCTCAGTGTCACTGCCGACTCCTCAGATAGGAATTGTCTAGAGGGTGGAGGTCATTTCTGAGGGAACTAGCTTGTTCATTTTTCTTGACACATGAGGTAAACCTCCCTATTCCTCCAGTCATCACACCAATAATCACTGACCTGATTCCCTACAGAAATGAAACAAATTTTCCCAAGTGTGGGTGCTGTGGCATAGCAGGTAAAGCTGCTGCCTTTAACCCCAGGATCCCATGTCAATGGCGGTTCAAGTGCTGGCTGTTCTACTTCTGATCCAGATCCCTCTGATGTACCCGGGAATGCAGTAGAAGATGGTCCAGTACTTGGGCCCTGCACCCACATAGGAGACCTGGAGGAAACTCCTAGTTCCTCCCTGGGCCTGGTCCAATCGATGCCATTGTGGCCATGTGGGGAGCAGACCAGAGTATGCAAGAGTTGCCCCTCTTTCTCTCCCTGTTTCTCTCTCTAATTCTGCCTTTCATAAGGTAAAATCAAATCTAAAATAATATTCTCTGGAGTCGCTTGGTTCCTAGTGTGATTCCTTTCCATGAGAGGAAGTGCAGTGCCCATGCTTCTCAAACAAGCTATCTTGGTAGTTTGTGGTTTACCATATTTTGTGCATTGAGGATAAGATAAAAGGTGGAACAGGTGAATTTTCAGTTCTGGGTATCAGAGTGCATGTGTGCAGCACAAGAGAAAACTTGGCTACTCATGAAATCTCTAAGCACAGGTCTCAGACTTGCAGCCTGGGGACACACTACTAAAGGAATGGCAGAACATTCTGTACGTGTGGTAGGTGAAATGATGCCAATGTTGAAGGGACAGACAACGTGGTTGGGTTCAATGAAGCAGGGGGAGTATCTTGACTGCAATGGAGACGAGCATGCTGCTGGCTCTGACAGGAAACAATGTCACATGACAGGGATGGGGAATGACTCCTGTGTTCAACACTGCAGGGGGCAGAGGGGTCTGCTTCATTAGGAACAGACGGCAGAGACAAGCATGAGATGTGCTGCTTAGGTGGGTGTGCATCTGTGACATTCTTCTGGCAATGACTGAGCACTGGAATCTGAGTGACAAAGCCACACAAGGAATGGGAGGACAGCAAGGCTGGATGGGCCAACCACACCTGTGCAACAGACTGGTTGAAAAAGAACAGATGCTGAGAACGTCTCAGACCATCCCATGTCCAGGAGCCCTCTCAGTCAGGTGGGAGTGATGAGTACAAGGATAGTGCGGGCTCCTTGGCAAGCAGAGGGGGTTGTATCACCTCACAGTGGGGGACTCACCATTTGCATCTGGAGCAGAGAGCATGTCCTGCTGCTCCAGGGAGCACCAGCTGCTCCACGTGGAATGGTCAAGCTCAGAAACAACTGGAGAAATCAAGGGAGTGAGGTAGCACTCATCCAGCGAGTCCTCTGGGTCTTCCTGCTCTTGCTCCTCTGGGAGCTCCCTGCTGAGATGGGAGGGCAGAGACACTGAAGACACGCATCACAGGTACAGAAGTGACTTTGTCATCAGACTACAGGTTAAAATATGTGAGGGATTTTCAAAGGGGGAATATAGAGGGAAACAATGCAAAAGGGAACATTATGAACAGAGCCATTTCATCATTGGCTGAATGTTCCAACTGGCTCTAGTCACCAGTTTCTCCAGTATTTTGATTCCCTAGTAGTCCATACTACACTGTCTGCTCTGCCTCCGAGTTACCTGGAAGTGTGTGTGACAACTTGCTCTTGTACCTCCACTTCGTGATATTGATTTTCTGCAAACAAATTCAGAAAGATTGACCAGGTTAAGCAGGTTTTAGGTCAGATATGGGTATCCAATGGCCACTACTACCAAGGGGACAGATTGTTCTCGTGTGAGAACAGGAGACTGTGACAGAAATCCTCAAGGAGGACTAAGTCAACATCAGGAGATGGGCTGGGTGAGCCATCCTGGGCAAGGGTCAAATCTCCCTGTTCACAGTTGGATCAGCATCTCAATAACCTCTGTCCAGAACCCTTAGAAACAGCCTGCAATGGTCCTCAGGGATTCTAAGCTCACAGCCCAAGAACTTCCTAGGAGGCAAACTGCAGTTGTCAGGCTGCTCTCATTAAAGGACCCAGGTTGCTGACTGTGGAGAGGAGGTAGAACACTGGGAGAGAGCTATGCATGGAGTCTGCATGCCCTGGAATTGAAACCTGTTTGATGCCACACAGAAACTTGGCTATTCTGAGTTGCTCATGAATAATCTCCCTCTTGTCTATGGGAACAATACAAGCAATTGAAGAGCTCTCTCCCCAGGCCCTTTAGGATTTATGTATCTAAAATCTAGGAGTGTTGCTATAGTACTGACTCATCCTATCAGACTGATCCTGGTGAAAAAGGGTAGAGGAGTTTCTATAGAAGGCTGAATGAACTCCATAACACATCACATAAATAAATCTATGCGGTTATAGAGAAACATTGAACCTTGATTTTGTAGGGACGTTCCTGGATTCAGCTATGTTTTTTGAAATGCACAGGAAGTACAGTATAAAAGACTTGGTTTTGAGATGATTGCATAGCTAAGATAAGCTGTCTTAAAGGAGATAGAGACTAGGGATGGAAGTAGGGAAACTAGGATCACAACTTGGCCCACACATGGGAAGTGTTACCCAAAGCCTGCATGGGGATAGAACTCCAGGGATGCAGTAGCAGAACAGAATGATATCACTGCAGGTGACAGCAGGCATGATTTCTAAGTTAGAGTGTCTGAAAGGCACTTCCTACACAGGGCCTCTGTATGTTCCCATAGGCTAGGGTGCAGTGAGACAAACAGCATCTGAGGGGAGGGAAGCTCCTTGACTCTCCTGATGTCTATGTTCAGTGCCACAACCTGGACCCTGACTGAAACCAACTTGTGTCTGCAGGGCCTGTGCTCAAAAGCAACCCTCCACCTGAGAGCCATTGTGTACAAAGAATGGAGAGGCTACCTGGGAGAACGGTGACAGGTTCTTCTTTCTTGTGTGAACAAGCGTGTTCCCCATCTACACCTAGCACACCGTGGGTGTCCTCAGCATCAGGAGACATTTGCACAGTGCCCTCAGGCAGGCAGGAGTCACTCGGCAGGTGGTCAACAGCACCAGTGATAGATGTTTCCTGCTGTGAACTTTGTGGGGTTTCCATTTCATCCACTTCCAAGAGCTCCCTGAGAAGCCAGGTGGGATAAGGATGACAGAGATGAAACCAAGAAGGAAGACACCAGGGAGTTGGCTGGTTTGGATGGGGTGCATAAGGGATCGGTCATGGACAGCATAGAGGTGGTTCCCCCCACTCTGGACACCGTGTGGCTGCCTAGGGGAAGAGGGCCTGGGAAGAGATCAGCCTCTGCTCATCACACTCAATACACAGCAGCTAATGAGGAAGCAGCCTCCACTGTCGCTGCATGGCACAGTCACAGCACAAGCACACATTGACACATTGACAGCTGCACGGGCTGACACCCTGTGCTCAGGTGGGGTTGTTGCAGTGTCCTGCAGCCATGTGATCAAGGTCCTAGGGGCTTGGCAGATTCTAGAGATGTGCTACCTTCTGGGCCTTCTCTTAACCAAGTCACAGGACAGCAAACATGGTTTGTAGAGGTGCTTTTCTGCAGTTGAACCTGGCTGGATTCTTCCTAACTGCCCCCTTTGCCCATTGCCTCTTTGCTAGTTTTCTCTGATGAGAACTTCAGCTAACCCTGTAGAAAGCAGATGCGCATCTTCCTCTGCTTTTCCAGAAAGCAGAGAACAGGGGTTCCCTTTGTGTGCAGGCAACACCTAAGGCTGTGAGTTCATGATGGATCCTATCAGCAACTAGGACCAGGACAACAGACACCTACTTGAACAGGGGGATTTCCTAGTTGGCAAGGAAGGACTCAACACAATCTGCAGTTGTGTTTCTGTGTGCGTCTCAACTCCATGACTGTCTCGGCCCCTTTTCTGTTCTTTAGGAGACCCTGTGCATCCTTCACCCATTTGTTGCCAGCTCCTAATCATTCACTATTACCTGTCAGCAACAGGTCCTTGTGCTGGTGTTTCCTCCTCTTCAATATTTTCTGTAAACAAATTCAGGAATGTCCAATCAGATATTATCACCCCCCCCACTACAATCAAGGTGGCCTCTGTGTGCATATGAATATCTACATATGGGATAACAGTGGACAAAAACTTCAAATGTTCTGTGTTTAAAGAAACACCTTGCCATTCTCTTGTGGTCCATCAGGCTTTGTGTCTCTGCACTTGGAGATCAGAACCATGGCAGATTCTGCCTGAAACTAGGCCAACATCCTTTGCTCCCATAACACTGGAAGCTTCTCAAGCTTCCCTGGAACTTCTGCCTGTTATCCCTCATCCTGCCACTAGTGGGAGTCCAAGGCATGGGTTCTATGTTCCCATGGGTCTCACAGAGAACCTCCATCTGTCATGAAGAAGCAAAGAACCCGACTTCCATCCCTCCCTCACAGGCCCTCCATGTTTTCTCTGCTGTATCATTAGAGGAATTTCTCTCTGTGTTACGAGTTCCCTTCTCAACAGCTTTCCTCACTGAAGTTCTACTAACTCTAGTGCCTGGTCTGGACTCCCAGGGAGAGGAGGGCCTTTGTCCTATTGGGAAACGTACAAGCAACAGTTTCCACCTTTGATGGTTACATCTGCTCTGCCCCAGATTTTGGTCCATCTAGTGAATGAGGAGAGAGAAATCCTGGGTGGAGAAAGCAATCACCTGTCTACCATTTGAAAACCACACTGAGCACAGAGCTGGAGGCTTCCATTCAACTTAGCTCAGTGACTGTGTTCAGCCTAACAGCGGCCTCACTTCACAAGGTCTTTCTGGTCTTGATATGAGGATGGACCCTGCCTCTTCCCCCAAAGGCCAACCACAATCAGTGAAGGGAGGAGAGCTTTGGGATACTGCACACTTGAAAGACTTCTCTGCCCCTACCTGTTTTTCCCAAGCAGCACCAACCTTGTCATGGCGCACATGTTCAGTACCAAGAAGAGCTGAGGCAAATGCCCATGGCAGAGAGATGAATGCATCTGAACCCCTGAGGCTTCTCACATGACAGCCTGTGCCCAGCTTACCTGCTCCAAGCAGGTCCTCAAGGCTCGCTGACAGCCGGACAGCCTCAGTGAGCAGTCGTCGGAAGCCCTGCCCCGTACAGGTCTCAGGGTCATGCACGGTGAGCACGTCCTTCAGGTACTGCTGCAGGATGTGGGCTAGATTTCTCCCCCTTTGGACCTTTGGACGTAACTGGGAAAGTTCTTGGTCCTGATCTTCAAGGATGCCACAGCAATGCCTAAGGTGCAAGCGTGGAGAAAGTTCTAGATAGGAAGGGATGAGTGTTAGGTTCTCTGTGTTTCCACAGATTTTCATAACAATGCCTTATAGAGCCCTCCACCAGCATCACCACTCAGGTTTGGAGAAATACCTGTGCCAAGAACAGCAAAGGGCAACACAAGGCTTTGCTCCCACTTTTAGAGAAAGATCTTGTCACAATTCCTGAGATTCTATTAGGGTTATTTTCTATCAACAGTGCAAGGATTCTTCCTTCCTCGTCTGCCTTCATAAAGGTGCTAATTCAGTTCCTCCTTCCAGCCACAGGCATTTCCATGTAGGAAGACACACAGTGTACAGTGCAGTGACTGGGAACCATGGTGCACGCAGGGGTTACATGGCAAGAAACAAGAATAAAGGTTTGGCAGGGCCAAGCTAAGCATCAGTCTTCTATATCAGGAGGTGATGGTGACTAAGGGTAAATGAGGATTGATTGCAAGGTGACCAAACAGAGGAGCCCAGCACCCCCTCCACCTCCCCTGAGAAGACCCAATGCAGCTCCATCTTGAGGTCCGTGCCCACAGAATAGCACCTCCACACTAAGGGAACCATGAGCACATGGGAGGAAGAGAGAACAGGCATAGCACCACCTACAGAGGACCAAAGCTAACTGGTGACTGGATTCCCAGAAACACAGCCATGGGGATTTCCTGTTGCAGAAGAGAGAGTAAACAGGAGGGACCCATGGGAGCCCATCCACCTGGACACCTTACTTACAGACTCTCCCACTTGCAGCTCTGAATTCAGATTCCTCTGCTCCCTTCTTGTTTCATAATGTCTGAGACACAGGGCTTTACTGTTACTCTCTGCCCTTGTTTGGCACAGGCTGGCTCAGTTTTTGATTTGGGCTGCCCACTAGTGAAACACATCCCCACCTGCCTGCCCTACACAGAGAGCCTTCCCTGAGCAGCTCAGCAGACCTGGGCTGCCTTGGCAGGTGCTTTCCATGTGTAGCTTCTTGGTCAACATGGACTCCATGATGTCTTTTATTATTATTATTATCTATTCATACCATTTTATTAGGGAAATAGTAATTGAGGAGGGAAAAAGATATTTTCATTTTAATTTCTCCTGAAGGGAGAATTTTTTCAAAGTCCCTATTCACTTTTACTTTCATAGTAAAATTAATTTTTACCATTTCTTTCTAAAAATTTATTCATTCATTTATTTTAAGGAATATACATTTCATAAGACAACTTTAGGGATATAGTTATTCTTCTCCCAATACCCAGGGTACCACCCACACTCCCAGCCCAGCTCCTCTTCCCTCTCTTCTTCTCAATCTTATTCTCCATTAAGATGCATTTTCAATGAACTTTGTACACAGAAGACCAACTCTATATTAAGTAACAATTTCAACAATGCGCACTCACACCCACCCAAGAATAAAAACTGTTTGAGAAATGTTTCATTGTAACTCTCTTTTAATACAACTCATTGAGGACAGAGGTCCTGCATGGGGAGTCAGTGCACAGTGACTCCTGCTGTTAATTTTACAATTAGCGCTCCTCTGTATGTTGTCAGGGACCACACAAGGCTCATGACATGAGCTGACTAGACTATGGAAGCATTTTGAAAACTCTGTCTGTATTTAGACAAGGCCATCAGCAAAGTGGAAGTTCTCTCCTCCCTTAGAGAAAAGTGCATCCTCCTTTGATGGCCACTTCTTTGTCTGGGGTCCCACAGTGATCCTACATGGAGAACATTGTTTGCCACAGTGCCTTGGCTTTCCATACCTGAGATGCCTCAGTTCTCCCTTCTGAGCTGCCCCACCAGAGACACCCACACACCTCCCCACCTGCCAGCCCCACACAGACACCCTTACCTGAGCAGCTCTGGGACCGTGGGCTTCTCTGCCAGCGGCTCCTCCAAGTGGAGCTTCTTGGTCAGTATGGACTCAATGATGTTTTTAAACTTCTCACAATCTGGGGAAAGACAGACACACAGAACTCAGGGAGGTGCTTTTGTAGTCAGTGCCTGCTGAAGCCCCAAAGAACTCCAGGGCCAGGCTCCAGATTGGGGGTTTCACATCTGTATTTCATCACCTCACTACATAGCATCTGACCTTTCCTATTTTTAAAAGATTTATTTATTTATTTGAAAGGCAGAGTTACAGAGAGACATAGGCAGAAAGAGAGAGAGACTCCATCAGCTGGTTCACTCTCCAAATGGCTGCAAGGTTGGAGCTGTGCCAATCTGAAGCCAGGAGCTAAGAGCTGTTTCTAGGTCTCCCATGTGGATGCAGGGGCCTAAGCATGTTGGTTATCTTCTACTGCTTTTAGGCCATAGCAGAGAGCTGGATTGGTAGTGGACCAGCCGGTATTGAACTAGTACCCATATGGGATGCCAGCACAGCAGGCAGAGGCTTTACCTGCTGAACCACAGCACTGACCCTGCTATTTCCCAATAAAATGAGAAAAAAGGACTTCAAAGATACAGAAGGTGACTTGACAATGTGATTCCACTGGTGTTTACAGAATCAGAGTTCCCAGCCCCTGAGCTCAGACTGAATCATGAGCCACTGGACTCAGCAAGTCTTGCAGCCTCTCAGGTCAAACAGGAACCTGGGGCACGAAGTTGTCACCTTTTGTATGTTTGGGAGCTTGATAAGGGTGTAGGACTGTTTACTTGCATTGGGAGATTTCAAGTGTTTGTTATTTCAGACTTAAGGGACCATCTTTCATGGAACTGTGTAGAGTACAATGTATAACAAAGTAAGGCCCTGAGGCAATATGGCCCAAGAAAAAGTATAGTTCCTGCTAAATTAGAAACAGTACAATAAGGGCCTCATGGATTCTGTTGATCTTGAGCAAGGAACCATCCTTGGAGTTGTACAGGAAAGAAGGAGCACATATTGTTGTGACAATCTACAGAGGCAGGAATTATGATAGCACCTATGAATGGGAGAGAAATCCAAGTTACAGAGAAGGTGGGCAATGGGGGCACCCAGGTGAGTGGCCCTGATTCCCCCCTACACCCTGTGCTCCCACTCCCAGGTCTCAGGCACCATCTTCCTCTTCTGGAAGAAGAACTTGTACTCCAGGAGCAGGACTTTCTCCCAGTGGGGAGGCTGTGTTGTGAGGGTGTTCCCATGGATACCAGAGTTCCAGTGCACAGGAGACTCTCTGTCTCTCTGGAAGCCCATCCTGCTCACTCTGAACACATGTCCACTTCTGGACCTAGGACAGTGCTTTGCCAATGGAAAGTCAACAGAAGCTTGAATTGAGTGAAATGTGTTAGCCCCAGAAATGAGGCCCACAGTGATGGTATAAGGCTGCAGGAGCTGACACAGACAGGATGATCATAAACATGCACTCAATATGGTGGAGCCTGAGCCTGAGGACAACAGGCAGCTCTATGCCTCATCAGGAATCCATGACAGATTCAGCACTCCTGTCACCCTACACCTCACTGCTACCTTGGAAAACTTGTGAAACCCTGTGTGTCAGCTTGGGAGTGTGGTCAGGAGGAAATTAAGTTCAGCAAAAAGAAGGCAACAATCACGTAGTGAGGTAAACCATTTAGTTCCTCAGGAGAAGACACAGGACAATCATCACTGTGGTGAAATGACCCGAGAGAACTTACTGTATTTTTTCAGCTCCATGGCCAGGGCAAAGTTTGTAGCCTCAGCTATGAGAAACTTCTCCTGGAGCTCCCAGCAGTCCTGTTGGCTCTTTGCCAGCTGGGATCGCAATTGCTGGCATTCGAGGTCGTTCAGTTCTGCCACGGGATCTGATGCAGGGCTGTGGGATCCTGCCATGCTGATGGTGTGTCACGGCAGGACAACAGGGGCTGGGGAGAGGAAACCCAAACACAGGTGCGGGTCAAACAAATGACATCCAAGAGTTTCAGGTAGGCTTGAGGGGTGACAATAACAGTCAAGCTTCACTTACTGATGTGAAACTCCTGATCCACAGCCCGACAACACTGGGAAGTTCTTCTCTGGACAAACAAGGATAAAACTGTCAAAGCCTAGATTGAAGGCACTGCCTGTAGCTCAGTCTCTGCTAGGACTGGCTGTTGTGTGGCAGCTAATGGTCTGCCGTTGCCATCGCAGAATTAGAAGGTGGAGCGTGTCACGGAATCTTTGGAACTCTGCCTTCCAGGGCCTAAGCTAGGTTGAGGCACAAGACCCCCACTGGTGGGGACAACCTACCCATCTGCCAGTCTCATAGTTATAGATCCTGCCCTGACACCACAGACCGTGTCCCCAAATCACCTAAGCATGTATCGCTAATATAGTCATGTATGTGTATGAAAATATCAAGACAGAAAATGTGTCCCAACAAGCCTTCCTTTCTCAGGGTTGTTAGGAAGTCACCCCACCTGCTGTTTAAAGAGATCTCAAGGCTTTTCTACCTGTTTGAAATGGTGTTTTTAAGCTTCCATCATAAATGGGTCATTTTATTATCTTAGAAAGGAATTTTGAGAGCTCTTTTAGTTCTCTGGATAGAATTGTTATATCAGGTATGTAATTTCAAAATGTTTTCTCCCTGTGTTGGCCTGTCTATTCATCTTCTTATCAATGAGTTTGAACAGAAAATTTGAACATATTAATTTGAACATATTTGAACATATGGAAATGAAAATGTTCTTGGTTTAATTATACTTATTTGAGATGTAAAGATGCAGATGAAGGGAGACATACACACAGAGAAACACAACCAAAGCTATGTGTTACATTGCTATTTCACTCCCCAAAAGCATGCAACACTCAGGCTTGGCCAGGGTGACACTTAGTGTGCAGAACTCCAATTTGTTCTGCAAATGTATGGGAAGAACCTAATGCTTTTAATAATATATTTATATATAATTACTGCAACTAATTTTATAATGATGACAAACTTATTTTGAGGAATATGGGTGTTACATATTTGAAGTAGTTTTTAAATTAACTTCTTATTTAATGTTGTATCTATGGCATAAATGCAATGTTAAGAACATAGTCCTTCTTCCCACCTACCTGCCCTCCCACCTATTCTCCCCCTCTTCCTCCTCCAACTCTCCTGTTTAGTCTGAGAAAGAAAAAAAGACAGAATGGAACAAGAAATGAAGAGAACTGTTACTCAGCAGCCTAGCAAAGGGCTGTCCAAGGTTACTGCTTCTCAAAGGGGATTTCACTTTTTGCCCCCTTCTGCTATTCCCTTCCTTCTTCCCCCTTCTTTCCTTTTAGAAACTTAATTGTCTTCAAAGAAGAACCCACAGATGATACATCTGCTGTGAGCTCTTAGACAGAACCATAACCTATGAGACATAAGAATATCCTCCATTTAATGCACTAAAAGGAAGTGATTCTGGAGAACAGTTCTACTATTAGGTCCCTTGATACAGCTTTGAGGACAGAGGGCAGTGCACAGTGGCTCTCACTGTGTCTTTAACAAATCACACTCTTATGTCTGACCTCAGTGCTCACCCAGGGTGCTTAACATGAGCTGCCTCAGCTACAGAAGCCTTCTGGATCCACCTAGCTCGACAAGGCCATGAGCAAAGAGGAAGCTCTCTCCTCCCTTCAGGGAATGTGCATGCTTCTTTAGTAACCACTTTTTTCCACTTTCAGTTTCACCCACAGGCATCCTATGTGTAGGGCCTATATGTGAGCATTGCAAAAGCCACTTAACTGCTGAATGAAATGCCAGTCCCAAAAGCTGCACATTTTAAGGTTTCCATTTGAGTGGATGATCAAAACTGTTTTTTTTTTTTTTTTTTTTTTGGAAATTTTAAATTCTGATGTCTAAATAGATGTAGGAGTCTCCACTGTGGCATAGTGGGGTAAGCCACCACTTGAGACACTGGTCTCCTCTATGAGTGCTGGTGGAGTCCCAGCGGCTCTACTTTCAGCTGATCCAGCTCCCTGTTGATGTACCAGGGAAAGCAGTGGAACATGGCTTATGTCCTTGGCCCTTGAGCTCTTGTGAGATACCCAGATGGCATTTTGGGCTCCTGGCTTTGGCCTGGCTCAGCCCTGGCTGTTGTAGGCACTTGGGGAGTGAAACAGAAGATGCAAGGTCTCTCCCTCTCAGTGTGTGTGTGTTCCTCTCTGTCTGTAACTCTGCTTTTCAAATAGAATAATACATCTTTTAAAATAATTATTAAAATATTCAAAAATGATATTGTAATGCACATATCCATAGTGTAGTGATTCCTCTAGACTAGTAAATAAAATATTCATCATCTCACAGTTAACCTTTATGTGCCTGCAAATGGTAAGAACCCACAAAATCTACTGTTAGAAAAAATTCACAGACTTTCTCATTCTAATGGAGAATAGAATGCTCCATGAGTAACTCAAATTCTCATGCTTAACTTTGTCGCTCCCCCTCTTCGTGGAGGAAGGACACAGGACCCTGCATTGTTCTTTCGTCTGCTTGGCCCTCCCCGGGTTTGCTGCTGGTTCTTCCCGGGTTGGCTACCGACCCTTCCACATCCGTGGAAGGGCGGTTCCCCCTGCCACTTTCCACGGGGGGGCGGCACACCGCCGGCTGGCTCTCTTGGGGGCTGCTCAGGTGTTCCTTCAGATAGATGTTCCTGGTGCATGTTGTCTCTCTCCTCCTTTATAGTCCTCTTCCACCAATCCCAACTCTGCTACCCACACGCCGAGTATGCTGCTCTCCTCCAATCAGGAGCAGGTCCTACAGTTTATTGGTTGAACTGGAGGCAGCTGTGTAGAAGCTGTTTCCTCCTCTCCCAGCACCATATTGTGGGAGAGCAGATGCATAGAATAAGTCTTAATTCCAGTAACTTAGTCTAGTCCGAGTTGCTCCCAGTTGCTCCCCACAAACTTCAGAACCCCAGATTTAGTTCTTCTCTATAACTACTACTTTGTACTCTTGGGTCAACATCTCTCTATTCTTCCCACTCCACCACCTTGAAGACCTCTCTTATATTCTCTGTTTCGACATATTCAACAATTTTCCATTTTTTCTTTCAACTCCACACATAACAGACTTCATGCAGTGTTATTATTTCTATATCTGGTTTATTTCACTCACCATAATGTCCTCCAATTTCATCCAGTTTCTCACAAATGACGGGAGTTCCTTTATCTTTGAGTTGAATAGCTTTCCATCATATAAATATATATATTTAAGCATCATCATACATCTATCATGTATAATGTATTGTTACACATTATATGTATATAAATATCTATACACAGACATGTATAAGAATGATTCAAAAGCTTCAAGTGATTCCAAAGTGTCATGGAAAGTCTGTAGTATCCTTTTATTAAAATACACTTTTCAAGCCATATATATAGCCAGCAAGATTTCTTAACCTACAATCTGTTGATGGACATGTAGGCAGTTTGCATCTTGGCCTCTGTGAATAAGGCATCGACTAGGGATTGCAGGTATCTCTACTAAATGCTGATACGGTTTTTTGTTTCTTCTTTCTTTGCACATATACCCATAAGGAGGATGAATGGGTCATTTGACAGTTCTAGTTTAACATTTCAAAAATATTTCAATAATGTTTTCTATAATGGCCATACCACTCAACATTCTCACACATAATGTAAAAGGGTTTCCTTTTTGGTACACCATTGCCCACATTTATTCTCTCTTGTCTTTGTGACAGCACCTGACCTTATGGTTCTGAGGTGATATCCTTCTGTGGTTTGGAATGGTGTTTCCGTGATGAGTACTGATAATGGGCAACTTGTCATAAACCTGGTGCGTATTCCTTTCATGGAGTAATGTCTACTCAGGTCCTTTGCCAATTTCTCAGATGAATGATTAATTATTTTGGCTACTGACTTCTGTGAGTGCTTTCACACTATAGCACAGAGAAAGCAAAAGCCTTGTGAACAATGTACATAGGTCTTGGCCCCATGTGGGGATCATGGGGATCCTTACTTTGGGGCCGTGTGACTGCACCACTGCCATTTTATTGGATTGTGCAGTGTGTTGCATGGCGGAATTGAGCATGGGTGGGAAAATGTATCTAGCTGAAGAGGGCAGGAAGGCTGTGCTTTCTCTCTCTCTCTCTCTCTTTTTTCTTTTTTTTGGTGGTGACACTGAAGTTACCAGGATCTCTAGTTTGCATGGAAAGCTTGTGTTCAGCATAAACCTGCTCTGATTCCATCCAGGGATCTCCCTGGCCAGGTGCACAGGTTCACTGTGGAGTCAGTTTCTCTCCTGACCTCAGTGCTCATGGAAGGCAGCTCCTTCAGGGGCTGGACAGTGGAGTAGGCATTTCTGAGTATCCCCTGAGGTTTCCGACACAATGTGTCCTTCATCTCACCCACACTTGGTTTCACCCTAACATTACCTTGTCATTCTCTGGGTCATTCTCACGTCCCAGAGAGCTGCTCATCTTCCTTCAGCTGCACCTTCAGTTCTGGGTTCTCAGGATGTGGACTCAGCTCCAGATCTGGGAGGAGACACAGAGGAGGGACTAGGTCAGCTCTCAGCCTCAGTTCCCAGGGCACGTGTGGTTCCCCAGGGACTCAGAGGAACTTAAGCAGCAGGACCTCAGAGAGGAACAATACACACTTTACCTCACTGAAGAGGAACCTGAGGTCCACAGAGACTAAGAGGTTGTCTCAGCACCACAGCTGATGGAAGGAGGGCCACCCCATGAGCTTTGACCTCCAGCTTCCCTGTGCCGAGCATGGCTCTTGTCTTCCAAGAATGCATTGTTGGGTTTTGTAGACTTCAGATAAAGCACTGCTATTTCTGCTGCTAAAAACAATCAAACAAAAGTATGAGGGTCATTCCTTGGACACAGCTTTTCCCACATTTCTATTGTCCCATTATGTATTCTCTGTCTGTTTTCAATCACTGGGTGATAGAATGGGAGCAGAGAACACACAAGGTGAATGAGTATTTAACACAGCCCTGCCTGTCCTGTGCGGTCCCTTACCTCTGGGATTCTCCCTCAAGCTTTCTCCTCAGCTGCAATGCTGGAGAGTGTCAGACCTCATGGAGGTCATTTCTGTATGGAGATCCATGTTCTTCTTTTTGTCTCCTGGAGTCAGGGAGAGTAGAGATTCATTCTGGACCTCTGTGGACCCAGCTTTTCTGCGAGGCAATGCTGCTAGTTTCAAAGATTAAAAAAGTAAACTCCACAATGACCAATGGAAATCAGGTCAATAAAGATTTTCCTGAGGAGCCTGAGATAATGAGAACAGACCCACGTAAAGTGGTCAGAGCCAAGCACGGGGCATTGGCAGACTGACTCAGGTAAGGTGTATGCGCAAAACAACCAAGAGAAGGCTGCTGACACTAGGAAGAGGACACACATCAGAGGAGTGTGAGAAGAAAGGATGATTACTGGATCAAATGAAGATGGAAGTATCACAGGCTGAGACCCAGAGGCAAGGCCCCACGTCACAGAGGATTAGTCCTCAGCCCTGAAACCTATCCCAGGAAGTCCTGTTGGAGTTGCCCACCTCAACTTGAAAACTTTTGGATTCATGACTTCCTTGTAGCCTCCATTTTTGCCCTTGCTGAATTAGAGTCACTGTCATTGTCACCCTATGTCCCCTGCACATGGGGGCAGATAAGCAGTGTGTTTAATGTCAGAGTAGCACAGATGGAAGGAATCAAACACAGCATTCACATGTAACAAATGCCTCCAACACCTCATTCACATCCCCCTTCATGACCCAGGGAAATCCCACATTCCTGCTGTGAGGCCTCCACCTGACAGGGGAAGTGTTTCCATTCCTTATGTGTTCTGGATTCATAATTTTCTATTAGGTACACAGTGTGGAATTCCAAAATCAATGGCCTTATTATATACTCACAACCATCTTGACGAGAATTGATAAGTGCTATCCAATTCTATACAGATACAAAAAATTAAATACCTTGGGATAAGTTCAACCAGGATGTGAAAGTCCTCTTCAATGAAATTCAAACACATTGAATCTAATGAAAGAAAATGAAGCAGACACAAAATAATGGAATTCCCTCATATATTCTTGATTTGGAAGAATTAATATTATTAAAATATCAAAACTACCCAAAACAATTTAGAGATTCAATGTTGTCCCCATCAAAATACAGATGATATCCTCACAGAATAGAAAAAAATCTTAAATTCTATGAAAACAGCAAAGGCATCTGAATACTCAAATATTCTTAACACAATGAAGCCAAAGATGGAGGCACCAACCGTTCAAAATTAAAGATATGCCACAAGGCTACTGAGACCAAAACAGTATGGTACAATATAGCAATAGACACATAGGACCAATGGGAAAACAAGATGAACCCCTAGAAATTCACACACCTACATCCCACTTACTTTTGACAAAGGTAGTGAAAAACACTTCCCTGGAGATATGCATCTATTTTAATGGGCCTTGGAAAATTGGATTTAATTTACAAAAATCAACTCAAAATGGATCATGATCTAAATGTAAGATCTGAAACTAGGAAACTAACCAGAGGAAAACATGGAGCAAATGCTCTAAGAAATGGGCAGTGTCAACATAGTTTTTGGGCTAAGACCACAAGAACATGGACAATAAAAACCAATTGGAAAATCTGATGTTATCAATCCAACAAATTTCTGCACAGGTAGAAAGGTTTTTCCTGGTTGGGTAAGTGCACCTGATGCTGTGACATTAAAGGAACTGAGGAATTCTCCTCATTTGAATCATTTGAGGAACATTAACATATGTGAGTAGAATGGTCCATCACACCATGAACAGTTATCCCTGTGTCTAAGGCAATGAGGAGATTCTGAAAGAGCAGAGGGTGATGGACTGGTAAGAACTAATGTGACTGAGCAGTTACTGTGTGCTAGACACAGACAGGCCTCGGTGCTTTGCCCCCACATCTCATTAAAATGTTTGCCAAGTCATGTAGAAAGTACTCCTACTTGTCCATTTCTTAATGTCTTCTCTACCATGACTATTATGAAACACCAGTGAAAGAACCTGAAGCAGACACAAACACTAGAAAGACATCCATGTCCACGGATTACAAGAATTAAATGATGAAAATGTCTACTCTATCCAAATGCAATTTACAAATTCAAGGCAATCCCCACAAAAATATGAAGCACATTATTCATACTAGAAAAGCACCTAAGAATTTGTGGAAAAAGCACAAAGCACAGGTTTTGTTCACCCTATTGGAGGAGGGATCCTTCCCACAATCCCTGCAATCTCATAATGTGAGCACGGGGTTCAGGCAGGATTTCTGCACATCTTATTAAAGTAGAAGGAGATAGGGCCCGGCTGTGGCTTTGTAAGGGAAGCCTCTGTCAGTCGGGCCAGGATCCCATGTGGCAGACGGTTCATGTCCCGGCTGCTGCTCTTGCAATTCAGCTCTCTGCTTATCGCTTAGGAGAGCAGTGGAAGATGGCCCAAGGGCTTGGGCCCCTGCACCCATGTGGGAGGCCCGGAAAAACTCCTGGCTTCAGATCAGGCCAGAGCAAGGCATTGAGGCCATTTTGGTGGTGAAGCAGCAAATGGAAGCCCTTTTTTCTGTCTCTCCCTCTCTCTGTAGTGATAACCCTCAAATAAATAAATAAATAAATAAATAAATCACACACACACACACACACACACACACAAAACAAGTAGAGAGGATAAGGGTGGAGAGAACAGGTACAGAACAAACTGAATGACTCAAACCCCGGGGAGGAGCTGGCTTGGGCCCAGCAACCTTTCAGGGAAGAGATGAGTGAACTAGTGTGGCCCACGGGAAAAGACACTGCCCTGGTTCTTCTTCTTTTAATAATTATTATATTTTATTTGAAAGACAGAGTTACAGAGAGAGGTCGAGCCTGAGAGAGAGAGAGAGAGAGAGAGAGAGAGGTCTTTGGTTCACTCCCCAAATGACAACAAATGGCCAGAGCTGAGCTGATCCAAAGTCAGGAGCCAGGAGCTTCTGCCAAGTCTCCCACACCAGGGCAGGGGCCCAAGGACTAGGGCCATCTTTGGCTGCTTCCCCGGGACACAGCAGAGAGCTGCATAGCCAGTGGAGCAGCCCCCATGGAGGTCGGGGCTACAGGCTGGGGCTCTAACCTGCTGTGCCACCTGGCTGCTGGACCCTGCCCTTCTGTGCATGCCCTGTCCCCCCC